AGGACATAAACGTAACCATCTAAAAAATTCCAGGGTACATACAGATTTTTTTAAATATGGTTAATGAAATTGTCTTCATCAAGGGCTTATATGTTCTAGAAATTAAACGCTTTATTTAAATGTCAATAAACCCTTTGCTAGGGCCCTGAAATAGGTTTTTATTTGTTCATAACAGCTGGCAAGTAAGTGATTTGCATGCACTAAACACTGGAATAACACTCTTAGAATTTTAGAAATGCAAATCTTCTCCAGCAGCATCTGACCCAATGTCCTGAATCAGCTACTAAGTTCAAAGAAAATTTAGAGAGATTAGACAATTTATCTGAGGTCACTTGTACACCCTAAGAACAGAGGCAGTTTGCAGGACTCAGACCCTATTTGTAGCTCTCATCATTAACTTATGGCAAGTGATCCACAGGTAGAATTCTTTGTGAGGAATTTTTTTTCTAATAAATAAGGTTAGGCTTCTCATTCATGGTAGACTATTTAATAGAAAATGAAGGCTATACTTCATAAAATCATGAATTGAACCATCCTTATAATGGTAACAGGGAAACACACAGTATCTTATAAGACCTTTATTTTGTTAGATCTGTCTCATTATCTACATGTAGATTCAATGTTTGACATGGGAGAGAATCTTTGTGATGTTAGAAGGCTAGATTTACGTGTTACTTGCTTGTGATCTGTGATCTGGATTATTTGCCTAGTTCATGGTGCAGGACCTCGTATTGTGAAGGGGAGCAGCAGCAGGGTAGTGCTGCCTAGTGCTGTGGGCCAGAGACTCGTCGCGTGCTGCCACAGCTGAGGGACGTTAGGGAGTCACAGAAAGCCCAGTGCTTTCAGGGGATTGTCAGAGCTTAGCAAACTTCAGTAAGAAACACAGTTGCTGTAAACCACACATGCTTTGATATCATACAGACACACTCCATACATTAGAAAGAGTCTTTGTGAACTATATGGAGTTAGAGAAGACAATTTAATGTTTTAACTTAAACCTCAACCCTGTCTTTTAAATTTGAGTGATAGGGAGTAGAGAAAGGAGCACATCATTCAATCCTAACATGCTTTCTGAATAGAGAGATTTTTCCCCCTGTTCTTAGGAAATTTATTTATAATAGGAAATTCATAATTTCAGGAATTCATCTAAATAATTTATCATAATTTTCTTCCCTGTGGGCATATATAGCATATGGGAAATTGGCCTAAAAGCTGTGCACTCAGAGGAGGAAGAATTTTTACTCTTCAGTTTAAAAAATGAACTTGACAGGAATTTCAGATTCCTTACTCAGTCAAGAGCAAATACTGACATACCTATTTTACTAGGAAGGAATAGGATTTTTAGCTTTCTTTGTGTTTGATAAGGGCTGCTTTTCAGTTCCCTGTTATTTTTGACCATGATTTGCTATTTGGTGAATACCTAAGTGTTTTCACCCTGAATATATCCCTTCAGTATTTTTTAATTTGATAGATAATGAAGTCTGACAATTTTAGATGGTGACATTGCACTGAAGGTAACTTTCAAAATGCTTTCATCATGATAGAGCAAGCTTTAGAGCTGGATTAATGAGTTCTCATGAGAAGTGAGCTCAGCCTGAGTATACTATTTTTCTATTCATGTATTTTATTTATAATATCATCATCTTTAGTATTCAAATTGGATATGTAAATGAAATGTTAAGTAAAACAGATTCTGTCAGGTCTGATTTCTTCTGAGTAAAGACTGAAACCGTAGACCCATCCCGTAAGTGTAAAGCAAATGATCTGCCTCACAGCCATATAAGTTGTAGGAGAAGAGAGTAAATTCAAGTTTGATAGACAGATTTCAGAATCAGGCAAACACACCTTTCCTTGCAAACTTCAGCTAGGAAGAATCCCACATGAAAATATATCACATATACAATACACTCTTGACTTTAAAGATAACTACATGTAGAATTAGATGTTGTCTATTGGGACTACCAAATCAATTCTTTTGACTTCCTTGCCTGGTCAATGCAGTCCAATAACTGGCTTAAGTGATTTTTTTTTCTCCTACTGAATTTGCCAGCTAGCTTCATTTTGTGCATAACTATTAAGCTACCACTATGTCCAAGAGCTGTACTAGGCACTTTGGGGGGATACACAGGATTAGAATTCCTACTCCTTACCTGCACAGAGTTCACAACACAAAACTAATACAGAAGACCTAGAAGAATGGGATTGAGGAGTAAGAGCCCCAGATAAATGGGTTTTGCTGTTTGTTGTTTTGGTTTCAATATGAGGTAATTGAGTGTGAGAGCAATTGCAGAACACTTTGTGAGGAAAACAGGAATTGACTGAAAGCCTGGGAGGAGAATGTACCAAGAGGGAGCAGGTCAAGGAGCAATATTAGTAAAACCTTAGAGTAAAGGAACATAATTTTAGGGGCAAACTGTGAAATTAATATAGCCTTAAGAGCTCCACCAACCTTTATTTTCTCCAAAGGTTAGCCATCCAGAAACATAGCACACTAATCCCCCTTCAACTGCACAGGTTGCATTTAAGACATTCAATGAATACCTGAAACCATGATAGTACCAAATTCTTTATATTCTATTTTCCCCATACATATATACCTGTGATAAAGTTTAATTAACACATAAGATACAGTAAGAGATTAAAGGCAACAACAATCAACTAGAACAATTATAACAATATGCTATTATGTATGTACTGTTTATGTAGATTCAAAATATCATATTGTACTATATTCTTTCTGTGGTGATATGAGAGGATACAATACCTACTGAAAGAGATGAAACGAGGTGAGTGGTGTAGACTTCATAACATAGCGCTAGGTCACTGAATTAGGATTACTTCAACAAAGGCACTGTTACGCCTTAGCAAGTTAACTAACTTAGGTGATAACTTAGTAGTGACTAATTAGTCAAGTGACTAAGGGGTGGGAAGTGCATACCTTGTGAATACCCTCAACAAAGTGATGATTCACATCCTGGGCGGTGTGGGGTGTGGCAGCATGAGATCTCATCCTGCTACTCTAAATGCCATGCAATTTTTAAATCTATCAATGATTTCCAGAGTTTTCCATTTAATATTTTCTGAGAAATCAGGAAAGCAGTAAGTGGGGAGACACAGTGATTCTGCTGTGTTAGTTTCTGGCTTAACCTTCTGGATTCCCATTTGTAAAATCCTTCTCTGTATATTGTGGGGTGAATGCAAGAGGATGAACTGCACAGGAAAGCCTGTTTCCAATTCCAGCCTGTGGGCTCTGTGTGTAATTCTTTTTTTCTTTATATTGGACTTTCCAAATGTGGGATGAGCTTACTTGTTGTCAACAACCAACTCCAATACTTTGTGATTTTATTGGTCTTTTCAAAGTTGATATAGGTTTAGAATTATTCAGTTAATATACCATTTTGGTTTGTCCGGGCCTTTCAATATCATCACCCCCTATTCATCCATTGATGAAAGAAGGGAAACATTACAGAGATCTTAAAATTTTAACTAACTTACCCTAAAATATGGGTAGGTAATCTAAATTTTACAGTAATTATGAAGCAGTCTATTGCCATGCCCCAGCAACACTCAACTAAATGTTTCTTTTGCTGAATTTGAAAGAGCAAAAGGAAGAGAAACTGCTGTTGAACACCTTTTCCAGCCCCTGCTGGGACACAGGCGCATCAGGCTTTCCCGTGGGGGACCTCGGCCAGTGCGTTGCATTTGGTTTCTATTCAATATATGTGTTTCCTCTCCACTCACACATTTTTCTTTTTCTTGTAAACATCAAAGGAAGCCTCTCCATCCTTTTCCAATTCCTGCTTTGTGTCTACCCTCAGTTTGGAAAAGAGCAGAGAGATCATGATACATTATCAAAGAGTTAAACAGTGCAAGAGTCACAAAAATTACAAGCAGAATTTTCTAAAATCAGTTTACCTCTTTTAACAATACCATCTGTGTAATGCCATCTTTATTTCAACGAAAAGTTAAAATAACGAATCATAGGTGAATTACAGAGATACCTGTAAACCTTTCACACATGAAGAACTTGTATTCATTAACTGCTTCGTTAAATGGCAATTCTTTGTACAACTTCTGAAATTAATTTCTAAAAAAATACAAAAAGAATTAAGAACATAGACTTCACTGGAGTAGTATAAATCTTGACCTGTCTTTCTATGCCTTGTCAGTTATTAAGATTATTTAGCTGGAAAAACTACAACTAGTTCCACAGTAAATGGCAAAATATCCTTGCTTGTAAGAATCATCTGCCACATTTTAAAGTTTAATCTTTTTGTGGTGCTTTATATATTGTACATTTGGAAATAAGACTCATTTTTAGAGTGTCAAAAATGAGAAATGAATACAGTAACACTGCAATGGCATCCTTTTTCTTTATGTAAAAAGAATTAATATCAATTAACTGAACTTTTTAATCAATACTAAGTAACAGCAAGCATGCCTATTAGATTGGTTCTAAAAGTACTAAGCATTCAGGAAATTAGTAGTGCTAAATATATGTCAAACTCAAAAAAATATGCAAACTAAAAATAATTTTGTCATTCTCAGTTCTTTTGATAGCTTTAGAAACAAATGAATTTTACTCTCTTGTACATGGCCTTAATACAGTCTGTTCATGTGCCCTTATCAAATCATTACCTTGAAATTTTCTTAAAACAAAATTTGAAAATGCTTCATGTAGTATTTTTCTTTGCCTCTTTTTGAGCTTTGTGATATGTATTCAGTACTAGTTCTTGATAATTTGTTAACAAGGCGTTTTTAACACTTTGGACAGATGCACATACTGTTTTCAATCTTCACGGTTAATTATTCGATTTTGTGTTTGATGCCAGAACACCCTGACTCCTAATCACTGTTCATTGTTGCAAGTCCATTATATTCTAACTGTTTGAGTGCTCCCATTGACCTTGAACTGACATTATAAGCTGTGTCTAATCTTTTCAGTCTATATTTCTAATGCTTCTTTTCTTTTTTCCTTTTTTTCCTGGATCCCTGCTTAGCATCACAATGGGACTGCCTCTGAGCCCAGCAGCTGACTCCGCCCGCTCGGCCAGGCATGCCCTCTCCCTCATCGCCACTGCCAGACCACCCGCCTTCATCACCACCATTGCCAAAGAGGTGAGCACAACTTCACAGTGTGCCCCATCTTCCCATTTTTAAAGGAATCATTTGGTGTGATAGCTGAAAGTTTGGACCCACAGATAATCCTTTCAGCTTATTTTAAAACATAGCAAGTTAATAATTTAGTATTGAAATGAGTCTGTAGGTGTCTGTCCATGTACATTGAATAGCACAGCTGTGCAGTCACCATTGGGCTTTTGTATTTATTTCTGTTCACAAAGCTAATTCACTGGTAAATATTTTACTATAGTTCCAATCTGAAATATAGCAGAGGTGTCAAGTTAAGAGATACTAAAGGTACTCATACGTTTCAAGTTCCAATACCTACTCGTAATCAAAACTAAACTTGCTTAGTGTGGACTCTCCCAACTGTAAACAAAAAATGTAAGTCATAAAGTTGCTAATTGTTTTTTCTATTACATGTCACAGATAAAGACTTGAATGTCAATTGATTCCCACCTTCTTAGTGTTCTAACTAATTACCCACATCTAACTGGAAAACTAGTAAAGAACAATGAACCAATTAAGGATCTTTCCTATACAACTTGGTAGTGGGAGGAAAAAGGAAAGGATCATAAAGTCCTAATTTTTTTTAAAGGTTTCTTCCATTTCTGCATGAAAAATGTGCAGACTCACTGTCCACAGGGTCTGGGTTCTATATGAATTGTTTTTCTTGTAGCCATGATAATTTTTTAAAATAATATATACCTCTGAGTCTACTCTGATAGCCATTGGGCCTGTGTCTGCCCCAGAACTATCCTTAATATACATGCTATAAGTATACGTGATGTGAAGAGAAGAAAGTAGTCCCTAACAGTAGTATGTATAGATGATTGAGACTGGACCTGTGACTCCAGTATATAGTGTTATAGTAAGGCTCCACATAGGAATATATTTGGTCTATATCCATCACAAATGGGTGGATGTTGTGTGGATGTATAAATTAGCAGTTGTATTAGCCTTGGAAGTTATTTAGCAGTTTTTCCTATTCATGGAACATGCATAGGTATTAATGGTGAAGCCTTATATTAACTGAACTTGCTTTATTTATCAATGGGCATCTTTTAATAAAATATTAGAATACTCAGACTTTAGGTTCATTCTATTCCTGCTTTTGGCTGGAAAGGTTATTATTAAATATTTTAATTAGCAGTCTATAGTCAGTTTCCTGTGCAAAGCAAGTTTTCCACCTCACTTTCTAATCAGATTTTTTTAAGTAAAATTCCAAAGTGCTCTTCACTATGATCACTGTCAGTCACTATGATCACTGTCACTATGATCACTGTTCACTACAATCACTGTTCACTATGACCACTGTCACTATGACCACTGCTCACTATGATCACTGTTCACTATGATCGCTGTCACTATGACCACTGTACTTTATGATCACTGTCAGTCACTATGATCACTGTCACTATGATCACTGTCACTATGATCACTGTCACTATGACCACTGTTTACTATGAACACTGTCACTATGATCACTGTCATTATGACCACTGTCAGTCACTATGACCACTGTCACTATGACCACTGTCACTATGACCACTGTCACTATGACCACTGTCAGTCACTATGACCACTGTCACTATGACCACTGTCAGTCACGATTATCACTGTCACTATGACCACTGTCAGTCACTATGACCACTGTCACTATGATCGCTGTCACTATGATCACTGTCACTATGACCACTGTCACTATGACCACTGTCAGTCACTATGACCACTGTCAGTCACTATGACCACTGTCACTATGACCACTGTCAGTCACTATGATCACTGTCAGTCACTATGATCACTGTCACTATGACCACTGTCAGTCACTATGATCACTGTCACTATGATCACTGTCAGTCACTATGACCACTGTCAGTCACTATGACCACTGTCAGTCACTATGATCACTGTCAGTCACTATGATCACTGTCACTATGACCACTGTCAGTCACTCTGATCACTGTCACTGTGATCACTGTCACTATGACCACTGTCACTGTGATCACTGTCAGTCATACTGTTGTTACCAGCAAGGCAGTCAGCTATCTCCCTCAGGTCTTCAGCAAAAATAAAAAAAAAGAACCATCATAAAAAGTGATAGGAAATTTTCCTATGGTGGGGAAAAGGAGATGTATGCCTGGCATGATACCACAGGTAGACAGCACATCAGCCCTATCAAAGCTGAGTATTAGATTTAAGTACAGGAAAAGTTAAGGGCAGGAAGCAAAGGCATGCATAGTTTAACAGTCCCACTTACTAAGGCGGCCTGGCTGGTCATTAGCTCAGTCCTGGGTTCCAGAGCAATAGTTCTTGTTGGCATCACATGAGGGGAGCAGTCTGTGTCCCATGAGATAATTTTTCTAGATTCTGAGTGCAGCCTGATCATTATAGATAATTATCCTTGTTTGGGGGTGATCTGTCCTAAAGGCTCTGCTGTTTTTCAGAGGTACTTTCAGTTCCTTGTCATAAAGGTATTATGACCATGGAAAAACAGCTTAGAACAATGACAAACAAAATGGAAGCAGAGTTGCAGGCTTTTTCTCTTACATTTAGGTAATTTGTGGAAATAAAAATATTTTAAGAGCCTGTTAGAAATACACTGTCAATAGTTTCTAGAAGTAAGAACAATAGTAGTAACCTTTGGGGTTTGAGAACTGATTGAGTTTACCTGTGCAAATTCCTACCTCTGGGTCCAGTCTACTCAGTGGGGGTTAGCTGTGAGTCAGAAAGTCTTTGCAGTTCTTTCAGAGACCTGTGACTCCCTCCTCCATTTTAAGTTCTCTTTGCAGTTCCCTGGTGCTCATGGCTAGCTTCTACCTATCACCATCTCTGTGGAACTGCCCGTGGCCAGTGGGGCCCACCCAGGACCTGTTAATGATCTCTTCTCCAAACTGTAAAGCGTATAATTTTATGGAAAAAAAGTTACACTGAACTTACATTGTTTGTCACATTCAGTAGTTTTGGAGACATGCCTATCTGGTTCCCCAACTTCATTATGAAGAAGTTGAAACATTGTCTTAGCTATGTAGCAAGTATTATGTAAGTATCATTCAACATTGGTACTTGAGATCAAGGATTATATCTTATACTTTCTGAGCCTCTCCTAACTACTACATACTTAATACTAAATACTAAATTTACCTTCTTTCTATTTTTATTTTTTATGGTGGTTATAACCTTTTTTTCTTTTTTTTTTGGGGGGGGAAGGAGGTCCGGTCGTGGGGCCTGAACTCTGGGCCTGGTGCTGTCCCTCAGCTCTTCAGCTCAAGGCTAGCGCTCTACCACTTGAGCCACAGCACCACTTCCGGCTTTTTTCTTTGTGCTTATGTGGTGCTGAGGAATCGAACCCAGGGCCTCATGCATGCAAGGCAAGCGCTCTACCACTGATCCACCTTCCCAGCCCCATCTTCTTTCTATTTTTAAAAGATGTTGTGGTAATATTTTATTAAGGTCTCAACACCCAGGAACATATAAAATTTTATTAGAGAATACTTACTGAGCTATTGTTAAACTCAGTGCTTTGTGGGATTAAAAGTATTTTCTCAGTTGGTTAAGATGAACAAGATTATAGTTTTGAGGCTAGTGTGGGCAAAATGTCACAAGATGCCATCTCAGCCAATAAAAAATTGAGCATGCTTATCATCCTATTTTTCAGGGAAGAAAAAAAATAGGAGGATCACAATTAGGTCAGCCCTGACAAAAAGGGAGACCCTATTCAAAAATAGTGAAAGCCTAAAGTTCTGGAGGCATGAGTCAACTGATAGAGCATCTAGCACTAGCAAGAGCAAAACTCTGAATTCAAATGCTAGTACAAAAAAAAAAAAATCCTGACCCACCCCCACCCCTCAGGTATTTGTTTTGTTTTATTTATTTTTCCCTGTGATAATAGTAAGTGAAAATTAAACTAGCAGCTAGAAATATAAAGCTGTTTAAAGCAGCAGTCCTATTTAGAGTATGGAAATTTCTTTTTTAGGTCCATAGACATACAGCTCTTGCAGCAAATACTCAATCACAGCAGAATATACACACTACAACCCTTGCAAGAGCAAAAGGAGAAATCCTGAGAGTTATTGAAATTCTTATTGAAAAGATGCCTACGGATGTTGTGGATCTTCTTGTGGAGGTAAGAATATCCTGTTCTAAATGATACATCAGCCCCCTAGGTTACATATCCCAGTGTGCTAATATAAACCATCATCTTTCTTTCCAGCATTTCTTCATGGCAGAAAAAGAAAAAGTGTGATGAACAAAGGATGAAAGAGAGATTGTATAGTGCGTGTGTGTGTGTCTGTCTGTCTGTCTGTCTGTCTGTCTGTGTGTGTGTGTCTGTGTGTGTGTGTGTGTGTGTGTGTCTGTGTGTCCTAAAATGAATGAACTCTTTTGTGCTATTTCTGGAGGCCTTAATTACATTTCCTCAAAAATCAAAATGATGGCTATGTCCATTCACCATTCACATGGAATTGGTCTGCATTGAGTATATTTTAAAGGCTGTGTTTGCCTCATTTGCCTTGTGAATGAAATGAGAAGTTTAATGTGCTTGGATAATACATGTGAACATGAACCAACTTGAGGAAACAAATCTCTTTATTTTACTTCACCATCTTCAAACTTTTTTCCAAAGAAAAGCCAAAGGATAGTCTGCAGTACATATGAGTAAAATTACTTGTTTGTTTTTAATTAAATGCAAAAGTCAAACTATCTAGGCAGATGAAACTTTAATGTATTGACTCAAATTTTAGAAAATTAAATAATTGAAACTAATTTTCAATCTGTGTCATTTCTGTTGAAGGTTATGGACATCATTATGTACTGCCTTGAAGGATCCTTAGTTAAGAAGAAAGGACTTCAAGAGTGTTTTCCAGCTATCTGCAGGTAAAGAAAGCTTCAATGACATGCAAAATAAATAACTTACAGAAAACAGTTCTTTTAAATGTTTGTTAAGGTTAGCCTAGTAGTCATGCTTGATTGAAAAGTGAATTATTACTTTTTATTATATTTCTTTTTTGAAGGTATTAACAAAGATTTATTTTAGTATAACAAGATCAAAGTAGGCAGAAGTAGAAAAAGAAACACTTTTTTTGCTCCTCATATAAGAAATAAGATTTATTTAGTACTCAGCTATTAAATAATAACAAGCAGCTTGTACTCTAAAACAGATATAGAACCTCCTGAAATGTGATCATGAAGATGTTTGTTTACAACAACTTTAGAAAGGAATGAGAGATAACACTCATCAACATATCTGTATTCCTCACCTATTACTCAAATGATGATGTACATTATGAGTAGAAGTGGGAAGCTTCTGATTTGGGAATAAGTTGTATCTCCAGCCAATAGAAATCTTTATGTCATCTCACTCATTAGCAATTTTTTTTTTTTTGGTCATGGGGCTTGGACTTGGCCTGGTCACTGTCCCTCAGCTCTTCAGCTCAACACTAGCACTCTACCACTTAAACCACAGTGCCACTTCTGGTTTTCTGGTGGTTTATTGAGATAAACCTAGCTGGCTTTAAGCCGAGATCCTCAGATCTCAGCATCCTGAGTGGCTAGGATTACAGGAGTGAGCTACCAGCACCCAGCTTCATTAGCAAATTTTATTTTGAATATAATGGCTAGTATTTGCAGTGTTCTCTATTAAGTGTAGGTGTTTGAAAAGAAGTCAAGAAAAGCCGAAACTTTTATAAAGTGTTAAATGTGTTAATTATAGTTCTAAAAATAATATATGTTTTGTGGTTTGATACAGTAGTTACAAGATGAAGAATCTTTTCGTGTCAAAATGTAGTAACATTATGTTTTATTTTTAAACTTTGGTTCCTAAAATGTTTATAGTTTGAGGCACATTTTGTTTAAAATTTGTTTTACTTCCATGTACTCAGTATAAATAGTATTAAATCTATTGACAAAAAATTGTTTTTGGAGAAAATACAACAGCAAGTTACTTTTTAAAATGATCTTTAAGTAGTTGAACAGCAAATTACTCATAGTTCTCTGACATCTTTGTTTTTGTGACAAGTTCAGTGTGATCCTTCCTTATTTTTGCTTATTTCTCTTGAGTCTGTTATAGGTTATGGCATTATTGTAGACCATAAATTTCCTGAGAGCAGTGCCATTTCATTATTTTACTTTGTATTGTGTATTTTCTAGTATTTCAGGGAGGATTTGCTGAATTTATTGTACTGTATGAATTGTCCCATATCTTCTATGTTAGCAATAGATCTTTGCATCCTAAACTTGTCATTTTTGGTTCTGACTTAGCCAGCTAGAAGTAACACATGGACACAAATAAAGATTGTGCTGTAATACACATGCATATATTCTCTTATGATAGAAATTTAACAAATTCAAATGTTGTTGTTTTTAATATTATACAACATAAATTCTCTTTTATGTTCTTCTTGCTAAAAATTGTTTGCATCAAAAATATGGTATGCATTAAATCTTTTACACAATTAACTGATTATAATGATACATGTAGCCATTATTTTCCCAGTCATTGATTTGTAGAGAATTGTCTAAGTGAGATGCACATCTGTCTGTCCCTTAGTAGAGGTGAATGAAGCAGTTGTAAGGATTCATTTAAAGAATATTAAGAGCTGGTCTTTAGCTCTGGCACCAGCACCAGCCACTTGTATGTAGGTAAGCTTTTTAGCGGTCATGTGAACAACTGGCTCTGTTAAAGGGCCTATTTTTCTGCTTTGTTGGAACCTGTCGCTTGCAAGTGCCCTTCCTCAATTCCTTCAGCTACCTTTCTCAGGTGCATAGCTGCTCTGGTCTGCTGCTGTACGTTCATCTAACTATATTTTGTTTTTCTGTCTTAGCAAAATGCAACTGTATTTAGTTTATTAACTTAGCATTTATTGAACACCTACTCTGAGCAAAGCTCTAGCTAGCTTCTAGGGAAGCAGGGGTGAATACAATGATGACTTTCCTTTGAGGAGCAAAAGGTCTCATAGGGAGGTTCTGTGCGAATATAATTCTGTGTTGTGTGCTGGAGTAGAATATGTACCAGGTGCTGAATTGCACTGTAAATGTTATGCTTAACTTGGCATGTCAGAATCTGGGAAAGTTTCACAGATTGAAAAGGCAGATGAATAACAATAATATGTTTAAAAAAAAAACTTTAATAAAAGTGGCTGCCAGATGGAGAGGGGATTCTCCCTCTGAGGGAGTTGGGGTGATGGCTATGGAGGGAGCAGTCGTAGATTCTGGAAAGTCTTCACAGAAGAGCTGCACAATGAATAGATGTGTGTCATTGTGTATTGCAGAGAGAAGCAGGTCAGCAAACACTGGCAGACACAGAAGTACACAGCGACTTTTGATGATGCTCTGTCATGGGGTGTTTAGAACGTATGCCCATGATGGAAGTCTAGTGTCCTACCAGAGTCTATTTAGGGCTAGTCTGGTTTAAGGCTTTGAATTTCATGGCAAGTCAGGAAAATTCAAGTAAAAATGTATAATCCTTTTTCCAGGCATAGATGGTAACACATAATCTGATGAGATACCAGATACTACAGGTATTAAATTGTGTTAGATAATAATAAGGCTATGGAGAGGTTGAGAAGTTAGAGAGGTGAGGAGGTTGAGAATTTAGAAAAGTCAAGAGGTTGAGAGCTAGGCCATAAACTAAAAGGATGATGAGCAACATGAGCTGGAGTTTATGTTAAATGTTAGTTGGAATAGATGAAAATTATAGAGGATTTTAGATAACATTTATATTGGACAGACAGTAAAATGTTACAGGTCAATGATACCGCTTAATGGCTAATTTGTATTATGATAATAAATGAACAGCATATCAACAGAAGTTAAAACTATTTTGTTGAATGTCTATGGCATTGTACTAGGTGTCTTGCAATGCTTATGAGCCCTATCATTAGAAGTGTCTTTCAGTAAATATGAAACTCCACTCTAGATCAACAGCATACCCGTGGGCCTGTCATATGACATTTGTCTTTGAAACCTTGAGATACATAATTTTATATTCTTGTCTTTTACCCAGGCCTGGAACTCAAACTCTAGGACTTTCATGTGCACACATAGACACACACATAGACACACACACACACACACACACACACACTACTTTTGGCTCATAAATTTTTGTTCAGCTATAATAGTTTTCCACCAATTGTTAAGACATAATATTTTCTGCTTAAAAATAGAAATTGGCCTCACCACTTGGAGGCTGAGGTCTGAGAATCACAATTTGAAGCCAACTGGGACAGACAAGTCCCCCTGAGATTCTTATCTCCAATTAGCCACTCAAAACCTGGAAGTAACACTGTGGTGCAAAGTGGTAGAGCGATAGCCTTGAGCAAAAAGACCTCAGACACAGTGCCCAGGCTGTGAGTTCAAGCCCCATGACCAACCAAAAGAAGAAAAGAAAAAAGAAATGGATTAGAACACATACCAATAAACTTGATAGCCATTCTTTCTATATCACATCAGTATTCCTCACTTGCTAATATGACAACATGAAGTTGATTGTGATATGTACGAGTCAAGTGATTAATGAAGTTGTAGCTCCAAGATAAACCCAAACCTTCTTATTAATACTCTCTAGTATTCATGATCCCATTTTTAATCTGTGTGTCTCTATTCATGCATACATACATATATACTTGCACACACTTCCCTACTCACTTCCCTTGTCCCCTAAAAGTTATTTTATGTGTTGTTGTTTTTTTTCCCTCCAGAATACATTCTGTCACATTTATTTTTGGTTGCTTATTTTTGAGGGAGGTTTCTCTCTAGATAGCTCAGGCTGGCTGCAGACCCTCTAGTGCTGGAATGTCAGCATACCTCGCACCCTGAAAGATTTTAAACAGCTGTGAGCGTTAATATAAAAATGTACATCTAGGGAGGAAATTGAGGCAAAGGACCAAGAAAAACAAGAAAAAGTCCAAAAATGAAGTTAGAAATTCAATGTATTTCCAGAGGTGAAGCAGGCTGACCCACACTGCTGATATAAATACAATAGTTGCTCAAGAGAAACATAACTATGTGGAAAGTGTACAAGTCTCAGAAACATGGTAGGAAGGCTCTAAGTATTAAACAAAGTACATTTTGTGCTTATTTGTTGACATTCATTGACAGACCTGAGAAATCAAATATAAGGGCAAATGTTTAAAATATTTTTGTGTGTTTACGCCCTGTTGAGAACTATGGGGAATAACCATTCCAGAGTATAACTCCTGGCCATCTTGGAGGGAATTTCCCAGTTCAGGCTCTGTCTCCCAGCTACTTCTCCTTATTATATTATTTTATTTTTATTTATTTTATTTTATTTATTTTTTTGTTGGTCATAGGGCTTGAACTCAAGGCTTGGGCAACAGTCCCTGAGCTTTTTCACTCAAAGCTAACGCTCTACCACTTTGAGCCACAGCGCCACTTCCCATTTTATGGTGGTTAATTGGAGATAACCCCTCTGTATGGTATTTTCACAATTAAAAAAAAATAGTCCATCAAAAAAAAAAGTCTCAGTTTTTCCTTCCCTGGGCTAGCTTGGAACCAAGATCCTCAGATCTCAGCCTCCTGAGTAGCTAGGATTACAGGTGTGAGCCACTGGCACCTGGATTTTTATTGTTTTCATTGTTGTTATTATTAATAATATATTTATGCTTTTATTTTGTTTTTATTCCATCTTATTATTTTTTAAAATTAAATACTTTTTAGTATTTAATGTAATGGTTCTCTAACTTTTTAGTCTCAAGACCTCTTAAAAATAGAATAAGTGAAACATTTGTTTATAATGTAGATGTCTTGATTTTTTAGTAATTCTAATAATACTTATGTCTTAGTTAACAAATAATAGTAGACATATAGTGATGTAAAATGCTAATCATATAAAACAATTACTTTTTTTTAATGTA